CCCCACCCCCTACCCCCAAATATATAGTCATGACAGGAGTACAGAACAAAGGCTGCATAGTGGAGTGGACTTGGGGGGAGGAATTTTATAAAAATGAAAGAATTTTTCTTTTCAAAGAGAAGAGTGAACTGGAGGGAGGGGTGGGCAGGGAGAAAAGTACAACAATAAATGAATGGAAATCCAAAGTCTCTAAATTTTCTTAAAATTAATAATAATAAAAAACTTAAAAAACCCAAAACACTTTTTTTTCTACATTTCAGAAAAAACAAGAAAAGAAATGACAGCAAAAGGTTCTACAGGAATGGAAGTTCTGCTGTCAACATTAGAGGTACAGCATTTGCAACATTTAATGCACTAATAGCACCAGCCAATGTGAAAGAAAAAATAAATGATTTAAAAAATTTTTGTGTTTATTACAAAGACTGTTAATTAACATTTGTTTTTAGTATTTTATTTATTCTTTAGTATTTTGTTTATTATAGTATATATTTAAAATTTGTTTTTAGTATTTTATTTATTCTAGTTTTATATTTAGGATTGAGATTATGCATATAATATCTATTAAGTAAATACTCTTATGGTTAAATGCATTTATCTATATTATTAAGTGCATTTCTCTATAGTTATAATGGTAAGAATAATTTTAACCTTAGCATACTATTCTAATTAGTAATTGAAAATAAAACTCTAGTGGTGATTGAATTCTTTGGTTTAAAACAAATGACTAAATTCAGTTATCATGTATTTTCTTATGTGAGCTGGTACACATTCATAATTTTTTCACATGTGCTGACTGAAGAATGACATTATGTTGATAATTAAATTTCTATGCCAGTGTAAAAGTTTCGGTAAACCACAAAGATACATTTTGAGATGATGTATTTTTACTTATTGCGCTGTTAAGAACAGAGAATGAATTTATGATTTTAGATAAAAAGTCTTCACGTCCTAGTGATTATTTCTCCCTAATGGATCTGTCAGCTTAAAGCAATTACAATAAAAACATTAACACTTTTGTTTCTGAGTTCTGCATGATGACTTGGAAGAATCAACGTGAATGAGAAAGAAAATTTATAAAAAATAAATGTAGAAAAGGATTCTCATTGCCATTAAGTCGGTTCTGACTTATAACTGACCTTCCAGTGAGTTTCCAAGTCTGTAAATCAGATATAAGGAGACTTTTTATCATTCTTTTGAGGAACATCTGGTGGATTTGAAGTGTTGTTAGGTGCCACCAAGTTGCCTGCGACTCATAGTGACCCTATGTACAACAGCCCTAAACCTTACTCTATCCTGTGCCAACCTTATTGTCTCTGACACTCCTACCTCCCATAATCCCAGTCACTGAATCAGTCCATCTCATTGAGGATTTCCCTCTCTTGCACTGTCCCTCCACCCTCCCAAGCATGATGTGTCTCTCCGTGGACTGGTCCTGCTTTACCACATGACCAAAGTAAATCAGACGAAGCTTCAGAATGCTTGCCTCCAAAGAATAGCCTGATTTGTTTGTTCTCCTGGCAGGATTTGAATTACCAGAGAAATAAATACAGCTTGTGAGTTAGCAGCATAGCCAGCTTCCTATGGACTACATACACCATGAGGACGGGGATCAGAACATGTCTTCTGGGCTCTTTTGTATATGTAATGGACATCTGTGGCATTTTTTCTCTTCCAGTTACAGCTTTTTCTCTGACAAGGATGAGGGCTTCATATAAAGCTCTTTGAACTCACATGTAAGTGTGGGAGGATCCAAGATCTTTGGATCATTTTTCTACCAGGTGTGGGAGATAGAAGAGATAACAGGTAGGAGTTGTGAGCTATCTAGCTGCCAGTGGATTAGAGAAGTGTCCTTACATTAGGAGGTGCAGATGTTTATAGAAAAGAGGATCCAAGGCATTGACACAATAAAAGAAAGTACTCAAAGGCTGAGAGGATTGTTGTTGTTAAGTGCTGTTAATTCACTTGTGACTCATAGTGAACCTGTGTACAGTAGCCCTGAAACCTGCTGTACCCTGTGTCAACTTTACTGTCTCTGACACACTTACCCTCATTACCCCAGTCAATCTCTTCCATGGTCTCCCTCTCTATCCGTCCTTCTACTATTCCAAGCATGATGTCTCTCTCCAAGGACTAGTCCCCTACTTGCAACATGCCCAAAGTATGTCACACGAAGCCTCAGAATCCTTGACTCCAAGGAGCAGCCTGGCTTTACCCTTTCTAGGATGAATCTGTTCTCTTGGCAGTCCATGATATATTCAACACTCTTCTCCAGCACCACAGTTCAAAGGCATCAGTTTTCTTTCTGTAATCCCTAGTTATTGTTCAGCTCTCTGACACATAGCAAGCAGTTGTGAAAATTATGGCCTGGATCAGGCACACCTTGGTTGCCAGACTGACTTTGTTACTGTTCAGTACTCTGGAGAAGTCACTGCCCTACTGAATATCAAACCGTATAAGAAAGCTTTAGTAGAGATGAAAGTTTAGACCTTGCGTATGTGTAGACAGATATCAGTGAAAGAGAAGAGTAATCCAAAAATAAAATACTTAGGGAGATTTAATAACATTTGATAAAGGTAACGTGCCAGATCATCCTAAAGGTTACTTGTTTAAAAAGTTGGAATAAATTGGATATTTCTGCCTTCCTACAACAAGATGCATTTCAAGTCATACAAATGGTTAAACAAGAAAGAGATAGCATAACCAGACTTGAGGGAGGGATTAAGAAATGGTCTCAACAGGTATGATTTTTTCAGTTTGAGCTAGTTCAGTTATGGTGATAAAACTGGAGCAGACCTGAACTTTTCAGTTTGGTTGGTATGGAATGGGAAGAATTATTGATTGAAGTTCTGGAATGGGAGGTTTGTATGTGAGTCCTTTCAGGAAACATACTTGACACTGGATATTGCCAGGGGTTTGGAGAGCTACACATTAAAAGTGATCTCTAAGAACAAAAAGGTGAAAAAAAGTTTTGCCAGCTTGCCTGGTCAAAAGTCTTTGGAGTGCTTGTTTCTAAGGAAGAGAATCGATTTCATTCAGGGCTTTGATACATGCTTTCTGGTTCATGTTGTGGGTCACCCAGGTTTTAAGAATTTGAGTCCATTGCTCTGTGGACTGTGATTAAAAGAGACTGAACTAGTTTGAAGGGCAGGGCTTTTCTAAGTATGAAAAACAAGTGAAAAAAAAGGAACTGTAAAAGGAAGGATTGGTATATTCAACCATATTAGGAGAAATACCTTAAAAAATCAAGACTTTGGCAAACTATGAAAAATTTTTTTAACCTATGGAATTTCTCTAATATTCTTCCAGAAACATTTTTCCGTAAGAGTAAAAATGATATAGGTGTATATATATTTTAGCCAGTGTGTATATATTTCAACCTTTATGAACAATAAAGGTCATGAATTGACATATCCTTGAAGTAGAAACACAAATTGCACTTAAAGTTGGATATCACTTTTAGTAAAACAAGTACAACCCAAATGTAGCATTTAATTTTCACCTCCTAATACCATGGACTGCTAGGAAACAAACAGATTTGTCCTGGAAAGGGTTAAACCGGATGGCTCCTTGGAGGCAAGGATTCTGAACCTCCGTCTAACATACTTTGGACATGTTGTGAGGAGAGACTGGTCCTTGGAGAGGAACATCGTGCTTGGGAGGGTGGAGGGACAGCGCAGGAAAGGAAGACCGTCGATGAGGTAGAATGGGGTGATGGGAGTGTCAGAGACAGTGAGATTGGCACAGGACAGAGCGGAGTTTAGGGCTGTTGTACATAGGGTCGCTATGAGTCGCAGGCGACTCGACGGCACATAACAACAACAACAACAACAACAACATTGGTTTTCTAGGTTTTAAGAAGTAAGTGCTCTTAAACACAATTGGTGGAACTATAAATCATACAATAGAAACAAATTGATAATATCTATCAAAAGGAATATGTATATTCTTTTGATCCAAAGTCTACAGATTTATATGGTATAAAGATAGGTATCTTTGATTACATGTAAATGTATGTAGTTATTTTTTTAAAAAAATATTATTAATAGGAAAAGAGTAAAAACAATCTAAAAATCCATTGTTAGATGCCTAGTTATGTAAGTAATAATCTTTTAATTTTATGTACAGAGCTTTATTGACAACTGTTAAACAGTTATTTGCAATAAAGTAAACAGTATACAGTTGGATTTTGATTACTGTGAAGTTCTTTTTCCTGGTTTCAGGTAAACTAGTAAACCCTAAATACTGAGAAAATTCAACCTTCATATAATGAGTGGCTTGGGTTAAATAAAAACATCCAGATCAATGATTTAGATTCCAAGTTTGTTTACCCATTTTACCAGCAAGAAACCCCAACATCTCTGTCTTATTAGGTTTTGCCATTAAGATCTTAAACATTCCATGAATCAAGACCTTTTAGTCAATATAGCACAGATATTTCAAATGTCCATGAAGGAGCAGCTCTCTAAAGGGAACAAATAGACATTTAACTAAGTTTTGCTTTGCCTGTTCAAACATGCCAATATTTGTCTGAATTTTCCTTGCTGGGTAGGGATTTTAGTAATGATGAAGGTTTTTCTTTCAAGGAATTTTGTAAATAAAACATTTTGTTTATATTATTATATGTTGTTGTTGTTATGTGCCGTCGAGTCGTTTCCGACTCATAGCGACCCTGTGCACAACAGCTCTAAACCCTGCTCTATCCTGCGCCAACCGCA